GTTTAAGCTTAAGGGTTTAGGGTTTAAGGTTTAGGGTTTTTGGTTTAAAGGTTTCGGGTTTAGGATTTAGGGTGACGTTTAGAGCTTCGGGTGTAGGAAGTAAGGAGTTTAGGTCGTAGGTCGTAGGGATTTAAGGTTGGGGGTGGGGGTTTTAGGGTTCAGGGTAACATAGGGGCCTTAATGTTCGGAATTGTGCTCGCTTAGGGTTTAGGGTTTAGGGTTCTTCAATAATGGTTTGTTGAAAACTCTATGATGGTGTGAGGGTTCAAGGTTTAATTTAGCCTGCATAGTATATAGAACTGGGCTCGGGGTAGATCCTATAGTCATCTGGTAGTAGCTGGACCAAAAGGGATCGTATCACCAATCATTCAGGCCTCTACACTTACAGTCGTCGGTGTCGCCGCCTTGCAGGGATCTGAACAGGAAACACCACCAGAAGCCGACAAACCCTAAACCCCAAATTCACCCTAAACCCTATAAACCCTGTAAGCCCTATAATAAACCCCAACCCTAAACCCTAAACTCTAAATCCCTAAACCCTATAAACCCTCAACCCTGTAGGCCCCTGAAGGTCGAAGGCTAAATCCGGGTCTCCCATGCCAGGAAAAAAGGCGTTCAACGAGCAAGAGAGGGTTCAGGGTTTGTGAGGGTTTCGGGTTTAGGGTTTTGGGAGTTTAGGGTTTAGGGTTAAGGGTGTACAGGGATTAGACTTTAGGGCGAGGGGAGAGAGAGAGAGAGAGAGAGAGAGAGCGAGAGAGAGAGAGGGAAAAGTAGAGCGAGAGAGAGAGAGAGTGCACATTTGCGGCTTCTAGAAGACAAGATGTGGGCGTGCTAAGAAATGGACGTTTTAGACGCCTTGAACCAGTTAGCCTGCTCTGTTCTAGAAAACTACCTCCGTTTGCGCCAATGCCGATCTGAGGTTTCAAAGCCTCACCATTTGGAAACACTCAAGTACACCACCGAAGACCCGAACACGCTTCCACATCCATGAAGACAGACAATCAAGTCAAGCCTCGCAACTCGGCATTGGCCACCCCCTCCCCTGCCCACATCGCGAAGCGTCAGCATTCCTTGAATTTGGATATAGTAACAAGAACCCTGCAGCAAAGTGTTCGGGGCACAAAAACCAACATGAAATTAAGCTTTGAATCTAGCATTATCAGTCTGGCTGCGACCGTTCTACGTTGACAACGGCTGCGACAATGATTGTGTCAATAGCTGTGTTCTCTGACAGCCGACAACCGCAAGGCCCTAAACCCAAACCCCTGCAGCCCTATACAGCTTGAAGTCCTGCTGAGCTCCAAAACCCAGAGTAACTCATACCAAAGCCCAAACCTCAGAGACCCTAAACCCTAAACCCTAAACCCTAAACCCTAAACCCTAAACCCAAACCTCAGATTTATCAAAACCAGAACGGATCGCCTGTATTCCATTGCCCGCTTTGGCGACTCCTGTGCAGTGCACATCCGAAGCGTCGAAGCACTCAAAGTTACCTAAAGGGTCATACCCTCGCCCTTTTTTAGGTACCTAGTTTTGTGCTTAGGATCTGCTATATAAAAAATAGGTAACTTAAAAGGGGGTAGGGTATGACCCTATAGGTAGCGTTTAGGGTCGGGGGTTCGGGGTTTAGGATTTGTTTCTTTGAGGCGAGGGGGAAAGGGGTTGGCTAGGTAGCAAGTCGTAAAGTTCACTGCAGCGCACATGTTTTGGAATGAACGGATCCCACGGAGATGCTTTCGTTCTTCAGGGGACGGCTGGGGTTCTGTGTTTACAAAAGGTTTAGGTTGGAAGGCGTGAAGGTGCAAATTGCTGTGCCATCGCACGTCGACTTCTCGTTCCCGGGGGTGGGGGGGGCGAACTTCAGAGAGACAGGTTTAGGGTTTAGGGCTTAGTGTTTAGGGATTAGGGTTTAGGGTTTAGGGTCCAAGGGTCCTTTGAGCGGGCTGAATCCTCACTAACGGCTGCTCCTTATGGTCCCTATATGTATGTATGTATATATATATATATATACCCTGGGCTTCCAGCGACCC